AAAAAAAATAAATATTATGCAAATATTATTTACTATAGAAAAAAAAAAGTACCTATGAACATTTAAATTAGTTTTTGCATATTAAATAAACAAACTCAGTTGAGATATAAAAATAAACAACATACTTTCATGTTCTTCTTCACTACCACTTGATTCTGAATCACTTGATGATGAAGCAAGTTGAGCTTTTGATGGTAGAAAACCATATTTTTTTATAATATCAGCTCGACCTTTAAAATTAGTTAATAATATTGCGAAGTTCTTTTAAAATTCACAATAAACTAACCCGAAAAATAACCATAATGTTGCAAATGCTTTCGCATAAAACTATCATATGGACTCTTAAAATATAAATGGTCCTTGACAAATCATAAAAACAAAAAAATCCTACCGATAATAATGAATAGTCAACTGCTCCTAGTTCCATGATTTTAATGAATGTTGAAGTCGAGTGATATTTAATAAATTGTTAACATCATCAGTGGATATAATTCTGAAGAAAAAATATATCAAAGAAGTTTGTCGTTTGTAAGTAATAAGGGATAATTGTAAAAAGAAATTTTGCTTCAATTTACTCGTTTTTTTTTATTAAAAGATGAATTGTATAAAGCAAGGAATCTTTTCTTTTGTTAAAAAAAAGGAATAGAAGAAAAAAAATTTGGTTTGTCTAACGACACATTTTCTTTTCTTTTTCCTTCTTTTTTTTTTTTTGAAAGATTTTCATGTTTATCTTTTGATAATATTTTCTTTCTTGAAAAAACAAGATCATTTTAGTTTTATTGACAATTTCAAGGACAATCGATGTTTTACAAAAACGCTTGTTTTCTTTAAAACAAAAATAAAAATGAATTACTAGTATACGAGGAGAAAAAAAATCAATGAATAACTCACATGACGTTCGATTTTATTTGTACAATAGAACTTTAGCGTAGAATACGATACACTCTCTCACTCACTCCTTGTTCTTCTTTTCTCTATAGCAACGATCTGGCCAATCAAGTGGAATTATTATTTCGAAATTATTGTATTATATTACGTCAAAATTAGCGACATCATTATTCTCTTGTTTGATAATCACGATAGAATTACAATAATAAGCTTTCATACGAAGTTGCAATAAAGTAAAAGAAAAACATCGCAATAAAAGCTTAGCAGTTAAACCTAATGAGAGGAAACATTAGTTTTCAATCGATAATAAGATGTCTAAAATCTTGATAAATCAAACAATAGCTCATGTTACAATCATTCAACGTAATCCTACTAATATATCATATTACATAAGAGAATTAATTAATGCTAAAATAGTAAAACTCCACCGAACGAAATTATTTGAATAAAGTTGTTTTATATGTACTTAACGATATATTATTATTCAGTTTAACAGTATGTCTTTAATACACGGTGCACTCTGAAGTCAAAATGATATATTTTTTCTTTTTTTTTCGTATGATTAATGATCATAGGATTTTTAATCGAACATACGTCACCTGTAGGTAAAAATACCAGTCATGTATTCTCCATCAAATTTCGTTATTCATAAATTCAACAGGATAAGAGAATTACGATAAGTAACAAAGTCTATATAGAAAAATATTTATGATTAATTTTATCCATTATGCAAATTAAACTTTATTATATAAAGAGTTCTCACATAGTAACTAGTCAAGTATTCAGTCTTGAAATAATCTATTTTTACTCATCTAAATCATATGATATGAATTATATCATTTGTAGTTTCAATATCCAACTAATAGGTTTTATTTAGTATATATTTCGTCATGATCAAACAAATTTTTTTTTGTACACGAGTCATTTATAGGATGAAAACAAGAAGCGTTTTTCTTCTCGGCAAACAAACAAAATATATTCGTTTCACACATGAATGCACACGTTGCGGCTTTTTAGTATATGTTTTTGTATACCTGAAAAGTGGCAAACGACCCTCAGTTGAATCAGCATACATATAAACGTTATCGACAAAAGCGAAACAACAACACTTATCATTGACAAAAAAAATATGTCACGAGAAGAAGAAGAAGCAAAAGCTCCAATTAAATCATCAATTATAAATTATGTTGAGAATTTCATCGATAAACGTAATAGAGAATTACGAGCATCAACAGGTGATGAGAGTGATACGTCAGCAACTCATGAAGTGAATAGAGATTCAATTGTTATTAATACAGGTGATAATGAATATCGACATGATAAATTTGTAAGTATTATTTTCAAAAAATCAACTGTTATATATTTATACTTTAATTTTAAATTGATTCCTTACTAATTTTTGTGTTTTGTATTAGAAAAATGATCGATCATCATCGACTGATATTGATGCTGATGATCTTAATCTTGATTCAGATCCAATCATTGAAACACAAGAGGGTGGTGCACAAGTTTATAAACAACAAGTTTATTTACGTCAATATCAACCACCAACCCCTGAGCCTGTTGACATTCAGGTTCAAGAAGTCTTTGTTAAACCTCAAGTACAACGACCACCTATTCATGTACATGTTGGACTTAGTAAAAATAGAGATACACAACGTACTCCATCGCCTATTTTAATTAAAACTACTCCACCACAAGCACCACCGCCATCTTCCGAAGAGCCTATTATTTATAATAAATACGTTCCAGTTGATTTTAAACAACCACCACAACAAGTATGTATTATAATAAATATGAAGGAAATGATTTATTTATTTTTTCTTTCCTATTAGATCATCATTCATCGACATGCTGATTTGCCACCGAAACCACGTAAGTTCTTATATAGTCAATATTCTTTGTTAATAATTCTTTCGTTTCTTTTTTTTTTTTGTATATATTAAAAGGTCCTATTGTTGTTGAACAATGGCTTCCAAACAAACCTGCACCAAAACGTATTACCTATCATCATGTCAATCCTGAAGACTATGTTCAAAGTGAAACTCATCGACTACGTAATCGTTTTATTGAATATACAAAACCACATACAACGATTGAAGTTGAAATTGTTCGTTTACCCGTAATTAAATTAAGACCAGAAGAATATCATAATCGATCACCTGAACTTACAAAAATTGATGAAGTTCGTTCGATGACTCAAGATCCCAATACACTTAATTGGCGAATATAATTCAAAGCAAAAAGCTCAACTAGAACACCTACATATTTTTTTCCCACATGTATTGATTTAAAATAAAGAATACAATCCCAGTAACCAATCGTTATCTTATCTCAATATTACTACCGTCGTACTTAATTTGTCATCGTAAATATTGATCAAAAAAAAAAAAAAAATATAAAGAATACAAAGAGTAATTATATTGAAATGTGTCTGTAAATAGTGGTTGATTGACTTTCAAATGACTTAAATTACATTTTACAGATAGATACAATGTGTGTCACGATTAATCGAGCAAAACAGTTTTGAACTGTGATCGATTATTAAATGTTTCAGGCAACAACAAAAAAAAAAGAAAAAGAAAATAGCGGCACGTCAATCGATTGAGACATATGTAGACAGTCTGAT